TTATTGCGGTTACTTTAATTTTACTGATATTAAACATCTAGTAGTTAAATGCTTATTTTTTTTATATTTTTAAGCATTTCGCTACTAGATGCTTAATATCAGTTAAATTAAAGTAATCACAATACAATAGAATATACTAGAATTAGACTTGGTTTTTTACATTTTATTTATACCATAACAATTTTTATCTATTAGGTCAAACCCTGGTGGTTTTTTTATCATCCAAGTTTCTGATTAGAGTACTAATTTCTTTTGGAGTTGTAGGCCGTATTGGTAAATCAAGTTGGAAATCTTGATGGAGGATTGCGTTTACATTAGAGTAATCTAAATCATCCTGCTCTTCGGTTGGTTTAAATACTGATGCCAGATGATTTGCAAATGCATTCGCTTTTTCTTGAGGAGTACGAGCTCATTTACTATGTCTTAAGCGAATTGGGGGTTTGGACACTATTGGGGGTTTACACACTCTCCAAAATGCATGTCAAGGTACTGGTACCTGCTTACCTATGTTATGAGAAACATGGAACTGTTATCATAATTTTATAAAAACCAATAGGATATTTTCTTAGTAATAATTAGGTTTTTAATGGTAAAAGGTAATTCTAATGTAATAATATATTGCGTAGGTTCATGATAGTTCTGATCAATGTGTGAAATATGTATATTCCTGACATAGCTTAAATATTCTTATAAGGTAAATTAATGAAATAAAACAACTTAAGTACTTTTATGTTGCGTTTAATATTACATATCATCTACATTTTGAATTAAAATATCATCGAGAAACTGTGCAGGGGGATTTATATTTTCTTGGTATCTGGCCCAGCTCAAATACCAAATTATTGTCATCACATGAGCGCAGCAACCTACAGTTCTGCGCCCAACAACACAATTACAACAATAACGGCATAGACGGCAATACGGCAATAGACTTTATGATGTCGCCTACCATCTATATTAATTGTCTTAGCACATTTTCATGTAGTAAAAATGACAATAAAGTTGTGGATATTAATACCACAGTGTAATAAAAAAAAATTATCAATCTTTACAAAATAGATTAGTTTTGATGTTATATAAACAACCTCGATCAGTCTTTGTGAATGTTACTACACCCATAGCCAATAAAAATGATTCGTATGTTTTCCAAACCGGTAAAAATAGAAGTCCTTTTTTAAAATTAATATATTATTTAAAGGTGGCCGTTAAAATCTAATGACTGTAAAATAAAGTATAAATTACGCCAAGAATTACTGTATATGTCAATATTTTATTTGCATTTAGGCCAATTTGACCAATCTCCTTTAGAGAGCAACATTGTTGTACTTTTACCCGTCTGAAAACCATATTGATTTTTGTTAATTATGTCATTATTTCGATAATACTCATGGATCTGAGCACAAACATATTTTTCCACAATTTTATCAAGTGAAGATAATAACGTAATCGGACGATAATTACTTACGTCATTTGGTTTTCCTTTTTTGAGTACTGGGCGTACACATCCCTTTTTTAATTCAGTAGGATATGTAGTAGTCTGTAATGTGGTGTTTATAAGATTTGCCATAGCTATGGATATTTTTTCACTAACCTTTTTTATATCTATTGTTCTTATAGCGTCAATACCAGGTGCTTTATTTGTGTTCAATTTCATAATTATTTTGTGTACTTTAGCTGGTGTTGTTTTTATAAAACGGAGACAAGTTCTAGGTTTAGTAGTCGCATTGTTGTTTTTTATCAGCTTTATATATAATTATTTAAATTAGCAATCTAAGGCAGTTGCCATAAGTATCCAAAACAATAGACGGGAATAATTGCTTTCGTCAACATGCGACATTAATGTTATTGATTTGTACTGCATATAAGGTAATTAACAACGTTTAAGGTTAACCTCTGGCATCTGCAGATTTGTTATCTGTGAATTATGTAGGTAAAACAAATTATGAGACTAGGTTAAGACACTGCATTGCATTTGTGTAAGTATATCATAATCTTAGAGCCGAACGTTGACAATGCAGCCACTGCCAAATTTAGATAGTTGTCTCACAAATCCCTAAACTACTAAAAAGAATAATAAGCAAAAGATGACTTTTTGAATAGGTACTAGTTAAGATACAAATTTACATGCATTTGATATATACAGGTAACGGTTATCATGAGTTAACTTTACACATTTTTGCGAAAATTGAAGCCCATCTGTAGCTATGACCCTGATAGTATGGTCTCTATATGTGTTATTAAAACAATCGTTTAGACCATCGCAGGGTCGTCTTATAATCCTAACTAAAAAGTGTGAAATAAAAAAGGTAAATGTAAAAATCAAAAAACCCGACTGCTTAAATATTACTTCAAATAAAAACTGAATAACCTAGAGGATTATATTCGCGGGTGATTAAAGGACAATAAAGAGTCGCTTATGATGACTTAGGTGATCATAGTGGAATAATAGATTCCTAAATATTATGTATTTTAATAAGCATAGGTAATTGATGATTTGGTAGAACATTTCAGCCATCTACAAGCGCTTGGTTAAATTCAGTTTCTTGTTCTGATGCTATTATGGTTAAGGAGATTTTTTTTTGTGTATAAGTACCTATTAGAATAAATCTTATTTTAGTTTAAATAAATAAAAAAACTTTTTATAATTCTATAAGTTAAGAAATGTATAGCTCCTTTTTAAAGTTTGAATTCATATGTGCATCTATACCGTTGAAACGTGTTTTATTTATTGCGTGGTGTGCGTGATAACCTAAGAAACAAATAAGCAGGTACTTAATTGAAAATGTTGATGTGATTGGAATTAATACCTACATATATTGTTATTATAAAAAAAGAATGAGAAATGTGATTTTCAAAAATTGTATGTTATATTGAAATGCAACTATTTCTTTCCCACAGCTAAGTCACGGCCTTGGTAGGAGAATTTATACCGCGAATATTATACATGATTACGGATTTGAATTGGTTCTGGTGTTTGATCTTTTAATAGCTGGCGCACGTTATTTTTCACTGCAAAAATATTTCATTCATTAATTAATGACACATAATGTTATTACAAAAAAATGTGTTAGGTAGGGAGCTTATCGTAGGACCTAATTATTATGATATTTGTTAATTGCTTTAGACACATTTTCTCCTATTGTTATATTTAATGTTTTTTGCTATACTCATAATGATAAAGGATTAACGTTAATTATTAAATGACCTATTTTCGCTCATGACATTTTTGTTTGTATGGTTGGTTGCTTATGGAAACTTTTATAGGTTATTTATCTTTATAACGCATTCAAAAATGTTTTTTTTTTTTAAAAGTACATTATTCCCCTGCTTTACAGTCACTGCCTTATTACACATACCTACTAATTCTTCAAAGCAATACTTTTATTTACATGTAAAGCCACTCGAGGATGTTAAATAATTTATAATCAGTGATTGGATGACATGTGCGCGCACGCAAGATGTGGGTGTGAAGACTCCGCCTCCTTATACATAAGATGGCGGCTGAGCCAAACGCCGCGCCGATTCAATCTGAACATATGGGAGAAATTCAACTGGTGCCAGTTTGTCGAAATTTGAATTGGTTTTTAAATATTTAAGATTCTAAAAAGGTAATTTATAAATAAGAAAAAAAGTATCTACTTATAAATGACTTATTTTAGTTCTCCTCATAGTAATTTTTAATATTGTTTCCGTTGTGTATTAGTTGAGAAATTTGTATATTTTATCGATTAATCGATTTATCGGAAAGAGAAACGATGTCATTAAAACACATTTATTCTGAAGGCCATGATCATAAGCACAAAAATAATTAAAAACTGTATTTCTGAATTAGCACCTAGTTTGACACACCTTATTAAGTGTACTTTTCCTGATTTATTAAAACTATCTGTGTAAAGCCGTTGTACAAAAAAGTGAATTTAAATAATCAAAAAACACGACTGCTTGAATTTTACTTCAAATAAAAACTGAAAAGAAAAAACAAGTCCAGTACTCCATAATTCTGTTCAATAAGGAACAAAGCTTCTTTACAGTCGGGACCCATTATTGAAATGAATTGATCCATTCTTGAATATCTAATGAAAAATATCTAATAAATTGATCCATTCTTGAATATCTAAAAACAAAAATGAGATGAAATCAAGACCTGATTTAGCCAATTTTTTTAACGGGGTCAATTTCTGAAAACGCCGATTCATAATGTACCTACTTTGTAAATTGTGATGGAAACAAACACATGATTTTTCTTTGCGCGGTTTGTTGCGATTTTAAGATCGGAAACGAAGTATTTCAAAAGTATGTGATTTTAGGTGGTTTCGATAACAGGGTGAATATTTTTAGTTGTGTATTCGGTTTAAATATAAAAAATTAAATTAAAGTAAAATAGATATTAAAGGGGAGCTCCCGCGCAACAGACGTTTTATTTGCCATTTTATACGCAAGATATAAGGTCTAATATTGTATAAATAATGTTACAGTACCCTTCGTACGCGAGTCCGATTGGCCGATTTCATTTTTATTTTACGATGCTCTACATAGCGATGCGTCCTCAACATTTGTTTACATACATGAGTTTGAGTTGATAGCCGATATTTTTCGGGACATGATAATTACTATTTCATCTAGGTACTACTTGTAGCAGTGGTGATCGAAAGGAAATGATAAAAACAAATCTGAGATTTTGCAAGCTATACCTATAGACTACAAATACTTGCACAGCTAACATCGGAGAAAGATTCCATTGGATCCACAGCGCATATTTCGTAACAACTTACTCGAATAACGAATATTCACCATCCATTGTGTCAGTAAATAAACGTTTGTTATGAATTATTAAATTTATCTTTATTCAATAAAACAATTTATTCGTTATTTTCTGTTGTGCCCTTGTATTTAATAAAGTTCTGAGCAACAAAACCTTTTTAGATACTCAACTAATAGCTGTCTAGAAAACGTGAAAATTTATAAATAAAATTCTTGAATATCCTAAATTGTTGGAGTGGGTATACTTAAATATCTACCTAAGCTTTTTACAAAGCTTAGAGAGACAATATGACCATAAATTTCTAAGACTTCACAGCTTTGCACTACAAAACACTATAAAAAGTCGATTAGTGTCATGTTATCTGGGAAAGGGTAGGGGAAGGGCGGGAACACGGTGGGCGTACGCGCAGGTACATAAACTCCTAAGCCGGACCTCATCGACTCATTACTAGTTACGTACTCCTAGAGTAGAGCGTACTCCTAGAGTAGAGAGTTTTTTAAATTTACATTTTATTATTTTTCTGCCAAAATGGCAGACAGAGAGGTGTGTGCTTAGTTAAAATGTGATATCCTTATCGAATCTTCAGTAAGTGTAAAGTGAAGTTTATAACGTTAAAAATCTTATAAATTTCAGAACAACTATCAGCCACCGAAACGCGGTCGCCCACCAGGCAGGAATCGCCAAGCATTTAATAAGGTTGGTACACTCATATGAGCCAGTGATTGTGGACTATAAGGAAAGTGTTTGCATAATCAGCATCGATTATCTTCAGGAGCAGAAACGCGCGCGCAATGCAGAGCTTGAGCGGGTGCGGCGCGGCGGTATCGCGACAGCCACGACCGATCTCTCCAGCGAAATGCAGATGAAGGAAAAAGTGAGTAATATACATAATTTTTATGCCATAAGCTTGTTGCTTATGGCCCGCTTGATGGTAAGCGGCCACCATAGCCTGTAGATTAGTGTTTCCTAACTTTTCCAATACTGCTACCTCTGTAACCTATTAGGAAAAGAGATGTTACCCCGACTTTAAAATGTTATCATCAGTCCAAGAAATTCCAATTTGGCCGCTACATCTTCTTCTCTATTAATGTCATCAGGAGAAATTCTCGCCCCGCTTCCCACACTCAGCAACCCGCGGGCTCGCTAGCAAGAAGGAGCGCATGCTCTATTTAGTAATATTATTATATAGTATTTTCTTATTATTTAGATTTGACCACATAATTAGGTTCTTTGTTACCCCCGAAGTATGACTGATTTACTCCCGGAGGGGTAATTACCCCCAGGTTTGGAACCCAGGCTGCAGACGCTACAAAAGACGATAAAAAAGATATCACTTGCGCCGTTGCTTACATTATCCCCTACCTAGTGGATCCCTAGAACCTTACTCACCGACAAAAACACTACACCACCAAAAGGTAGTGTCATTTTACTGTGGTCTCATGATTCTTTCTGGTCTTATAGACTTTTGAAACAATTGTCAGTTATACGTCTGAATGCTCACTGTTTTGATATATTGCAGGTAAAGCTTGCACATCTATTGGCGGCAACTCTCACGCATTTCATTCGTGAACAGGAAAAAGAACCCGTTAGTGAAATACAAGCCACGAACGATGCCTTGGAAGCAGAAAGTAAGTTAGCGAAAATCCGACTAATATAAAAAATGTGTTTTCTTTTGTATATTTGTATGTCATGTAACTCAATCACGTTTAAACTATTGAACGGATTTGGATGGAATTTCGAACGCAGATAGTTTAAGACCTGGATTGTGACAAAGGATACCTTTTATTTCTGTTCCTGTGAGATTCTCAAAAAAGTGAAGTTAACGCGGACGAAGTCGCGGGCGGCCGCTAGTTCATTATATATGTTTGACTGGTATGATAAAGCTTAATGTGTTGTTGTAATAGATACCTTGTTTTTTAGTCAAAGAATTAGAACGGCAGCGGGCAATTTTACTGGCCGCTACCGAAGAGGAGGAGTGCGAGGGAGAGGAGCCGTCGCATAGCGTAAGTGCACCTCGAATAAATATAATATCCTATACCATGGGATGAAATAGATTGGTTCTCAAAAAATTTTTTTATTGCAGGCGGAAATTCTAAACCTAGAAGCGGCAACAAGCTCGCAGTTTGCTATAAGAGATAGTTTCTCCTGTGTAAGTTTAATGACTTAGAACTGCTATTGAATCCCTATGAGAGATATTATTATTCATAAGTCGTTGTGTTGGGCATGTGCAGGAGGAGAATCTGCTGGAGCAGGAAGCCTCAACAAGCTTGCAGCCTGCTAAACGTGCGAGGTTTTCCTCTGTAAGTAACATGCACTAAAAACTGCGATTTAATCCCTTTGAGAGACAATTTTATTCATTCGTTTATGTGGTGTGTTTGTGCAGGAGGAGAATCTGCTGGAGCAGGAAGCCACAACAAGCTTGCAGCCTGCTAAACGTGCGAGGCTATCCTCTGTAAGTAACATGCACTAAAAACTGCGATTCAATCAGTTTTGAGAGATAATTTTATTCATTAGTTTTGTGTTGTGTTTGTCCAGGACGAGAATCTGCTGGACCAGGAAGCCACAACAAGCTTGCAGTCTGCTAAACGTGCGAGGCTTTCCTCAGTAAGAAATTTGTACTCCTAACTGCGATTTAATACCTATAGGTATATTATATGTTGTGTGACGACCTCTCTGGCCGAGTGCTTTGTTTCAAGGTGTCGCCTACTCAGAAGCTCGGTGGGGCAATTGATAGTATGATGAATACGAGCATTTGTCTCTAAGCCATGGATGTTTACAATATTTCTATATAAATATACTAAAACTAGCTGTCCCAGCGATCTTCGTAACGCCATAAACAAAAATTGTGGTTGGTGGCAGAAGGGTGAAAATTTAGGGTTGTATGTATTTTTGTATGATGTATCATAAAAAAATAAAAACGAAAAATTTTGTCATAAAAAAATAAGGGCCGACCACCACCCTTAACATTTAGGGGGATGAAAAATAGATTGTTGTCCGATTCTCAGACCTACTGAATATGCATATAAAATTCCAAGAAAATCGGTCGCCGTTTCCTTTTAGTTAAATTACGCACACCGTGATACGAGAATTTTATATATGTATCAGTATATGTATTCTATCCGTTACCCTAGTATCCCATAGCACAAGTCTTAGAGCGTTTGTCCACCGCGGCCGTAACCAGGACGTCAATGAGAACGAGACGATGGCGCTGAGTCATTACTATAGCTGCTTGTCCACCGCAAGCCCGTCACGTCATCTTGATTTCATACGGCGGCATTGGACAAACGGCTTTATAGTGCTTACTTTACGGCTAGGCTAATTGTATTGTGTATGCGCAGGAGCAGCAGTCTGCGTCGGAAGAGGAGCTATTGTTAGTTCTCTCGCCAATAGCTCAGTCGTCGCCCGAGACCGAACCCGAGGCCAGCCCGCCATACCAGCCACCTGCCGCTGGCACTGGAGGTACTTTATAACTTGATTATAATGAACTCATTGGTACCTTAAGTCGACTGTCCTCCGTGTCCGTAAAGGTTCTTTCCGGTTGACTGGTAGAGAATCCCACACTAGTATTAAGTCCCCCATTTTCATTGTTAAGGCAATAAAGGAAGAATGAATGAGAACGAGATAATTTCTGTATGAGATGGTCTTAGGCCGTTTGTTAGACGCGGCCGCCAATGGGACGTCAACGGAGAACGATATGACGGTGCCGAAGTAGCGACACATATATATTTACTCATAGCCACTGGTCCACCACAAGCCCGTTACGTCATTTTGATCTCATACAGAAATAATCTCGTATCTACCTATTTATTTTATTTCATTTAATCTTTATTGCCTTCACAATTCAAATGGGGAAATTAATATTAGTATGGCATTCTCTACCAGTCTACCGGAAACAAAGTTAACGTCTCGGTGATTTGTGTTCAGATTCCTGTTTCATTGGTATTTCTAAAAACTGGCCATAGTACAATAAATAATATATTCAAAGGGCCGTTAGAAGTCTGTGCGGAAAGAAAATGGGCGTGGCGAAAAACGGAACTAACATTAAGATTTTTATTTGGCAACCAAACCCAGCAATCTGTAAAACGTCAAAGTTTTGTATTAATACGGATTTGTTTGTTGTTGTGATTTCTTGCGGTTTTTTGTATTTAATCATGTCTAAGAGGGGTAAAACCTTACAAATACGGTAGAAAAGCACTAATGCGCCCGCCATTCTAATTCCCATTCTCATTCCGCACAGACTCTAACGATTTTTTTTACTGTTAAATAAGCTGTTTGACCACAATCTCGCCTGATGGAAATAAATTTGTTTGTCACACTTGCTTGATAAACTTGGCGATATCATCAAACAGTAGCTTAGACGATCAAACCACAGATCAGACTCAAGCGAGGCCCTTTTTGAGATGATACCACAACAACGACTGACGAGGTGACACGACGAGTCTTATTTGACAAAACACGCAGTACTAGACGTTTAATTTATTTTTGTCAAATGCCTCAAACATAGCCTGTTACGATTCAACAAATTTGACAAAACAATTTGATAGGGCCCTTAACACACTAAGTGCCTCTCAAATCATCATATAATTTAATTTGCGAATGTTTCACAGAAATGGATTCTTTACTGTCGCCAGAACAGCTGAGGCAGTTAGAAGCACTCCTAGATATGGTACCTGATGACGAGGTAATTAATCATATGTTGAATTTCCTAAAAACCTACAAAATCAGTAACGTTACGATTAATTGATCCATATTAATTTGGAAATAAATCATTGTTATTATTATTATATTTTATTTAAGATTCCGTCGTGGCCCCAAGATTGCCTCAACTTCCTTCTGCAGCCGTGATTCTTGCGTGCCCCCACCGTCCTCTCGCGTATCAGATGCGTCGAGGTTTATCTTTTCAGGTATTTGAACCTTTGCTATTTAATATCTAGAAATTGTCGATAAAATGTTTTAGTTTCTACTTATTTTATCATTTACAATCTGAATTATTCTAAATACACCGTTTATTTTCTTTTAAAACTACTTATACTATTATTCTACCACAATAATATTTTATGAGAATAGAAATAGTTTACTACTTAGTTTTTGAATTTTTCGCCGTCGTCGGTCGATTCATTCAAGGTTGAGTTATCTATTTCCTTATGTCAGCGAATAGCATCTCTGTATGAGTATGTTACATTTACTGTTCTGTATATCGTATCTGGTTCATTACTTGATTTGACGAAAGATAGTAATGGCATAAGAGTGCGTTACTGATCACAGATAATCTAAACTTTTTTAAATTTATTTTATCCCATCTGCTTAATTTAGTTTTTAAATATAAACTCTATGGTAGCTTTTATAAAAACTTAACATAAGTACTTTCTATCTTCTTCAGGTGCCGTCCATGGTAACAAGACAGAAAAATAAGATACCGTTTTATAGATTTATATACAAAGTTAAAAGTTAAGCTTATTTATTTGTTATGTAAAATAACAAAAGGTTAAAAACTACATAATGTCTAATATTTGCAATACAAATTACCTTAACCTACATAACTACTTAAATAATATATAATTTACAAAATAATAAATACGTCACCTCCAGCACCGCCGTCAGGAATGGTGCCCAATAGGCTGGCAGCATTGCCACTTTGGATGGCAAAGCCGATCCGTTGACCAAGCTAGCTGCAAGCTTTTTGATCACCAGTCACCTCAGTGAGCCTCTTTGACAGTTCCTTAAAAAGGGAAAGACCGCTTGGACCTGTTTTATATTTTTGTAACTTCAATATTAACATTGGTATTAATTAAGCTTTACTTTTATTTTGATGATTTTCATAAAATAAAATGGTAATTTAAAAATAAATACAATTTGATTTTTTTTTCATTAACTCTTAAAAATTTACGGTAATAAGCCGAAGGGAATTTCATGTACCTAAGAGAGTTTCAATAAATAAAATGTAAATAACCAAGTCTATTTCTAGAATATTCTATTTTATTGCGGTTACTTTAATTTTACTGATATTAAACATCTAGTAGTTAAATGCTTATTTTTTTTATATTTTTAAGCATTTCGCTACTAGATGCTTAATATCAGTTAAATTAAAGTAATCACAATACAATAGAATATACTAGAATTAGACTTGGTTTTTTACATTTTATTTATACCATAACAATTTTTATCTATTAGGTCAAACCCTGGTGGTTTTTTTATCATCCAAGTTTCTGATTAGAGTACTAATTTCTTTTGGAGTTGTAGGCCGTATTGGTAAATCAAGTTGGAAATCTTGATGGAGGATTGCGTTTACATTAGAGTAATCTAAATCATCCTGCTCTTCGGTTGGTTTAAATACTGATGCCAGATGATTTGCAAATGCATTCGCTTTTTCTTGAGGAGTACGAGCTCATTTACTATGTCTTAAGCGAATTGGGGGTTTGGACACTATTGGGGGTTTACACACTCTCCACAGATATAGTTAGTCACGTTTGTGGCTGTTAAGTTTACGATTTGTGCTTGGGTGGTGGCATTCTCTGTTTCGTGGAGCAATTGGTGAAGTTCTTTTGCTGGCCTGTTGAATGCAGTTTTATCTGCAGAGTGTCTGTTTACATGCCATACTTGACGAAGCCTCCCTTTTTCTTCTATTTTTTATGTATATCTATGGGGCCTTTTTTGTGTATAAAAAACTGGCTTCAGTTCTGGAATACTAGCCCATGCTGCATTTTGTACCATAGGCATCAATTTCCTATTAGCATTTTCAATTTCATCGGGATTTGTTAGTGACATTTTTACATTTAACTGGTCCTGTAATATTTCTCGAAATACATACCATTCTGTGTATATATTATAAAGTTTTTGAGCAGTTATTTTTTCCAAAACAGACACACTTATTTCATTAGATGATCCATCTAAACACGATTCTCTTTTTGAAAAATAATCTTGAGACTCCTTTTGTTGAGAAAAAATCTAAAAGATCTGGGAGTTTGTTTGGATCTGTAGGCCAGTTTCTTAGTTCAGAAGTTGCAATGGGAATCCGATGATTTGCATCAACGCTTATTTTGAGTTCCCTGCCTCTAGTCGTAATTAGTCTTGAGCCTATGAATCTAGTTCCCAAAGTTTTTAGATATGAACTGAACTGGGCTTCGTTAATGTTATGTGTTGGAGGGCAGTAAACTGCAGAAATAATAATGTCCCCTTGCTTATCTTCGACTATTATAGTTGTGGCCTGTACGGCTACAGTTTTAAATATAATACGATGAGGCTTTATGAGTTTCCCTGTGGGCTCTGCGCAGAGAATGATTCTCCAGCGTTGCTGGCACTTTCCTGGGGTAATTTGTTTTCAAATACTGCTTCCATTTTGTTTTCGGCATGCTTGTCGAGTATGCAACCAAGCCTTTGGTGCACTGACACCTACGTAGAAGGCAGCACGTTTAGTTTATTGTTCGGAATACATTCTCCTAGATCGATAGCAATCCAAGGCAAACGGGATTGATCTTTCCGGGTCCGAGCTTTGATTTAAGTGGCGGCTCATATTCGCTACTGTCTGTGTGTGTTTATGCCTCAGCAGCTAGCCTCCATATCTAGGGACCTTATCGCTATCCGCAACATGCTACGCGGTGGGTGGCACAGAGCAGTGCACCTGGGAAGTTATCACGCAGAACCCACAGAATTGCACTGCAGAACTTCAAGTTCCTTACGTCTTATTAAAAAAACTATGTCGTTCAAGCGAATTATTATAAATATTTAAAGTTTTTATACACCAATACTTCTTTTTGGAATTATATAGTTTTCTTCTTATTCTTGTTTTACAGAAATCATTGAATTAGCCTCCTTCACCAAATGCAGCCCGTATTTCGCTACGTTTACTGCTCGTAAATATTAAAATAACTATATTTCTTTTGTTCTATTGCAAGGTTACTACTCAGGTGATTGTCGATAATCCTTTTGGGATGCTTGAGGCCATAAAATCTAAATGGCATTGTGCTACAATTTTGCAAAAGGCTTAAGTAAATGAACCTGTTTTTTGGAGTATTAATGGAAAAATAATGCAAAAGGGGAGAAAAAAAATCCTTTTGAAAGCACCGCGTAGCATAAAAATCACATGAGTCTTAACCCCCGCGTGCTCTTAAAGTAATGGCATATACATATTTTAGTAGTATTTTCCCTTAAATTAACGCAGATAAAATCGCGTGCTTATTGAATATAATAATGAAGTTATAAGGAATAAGTTAAATTTCCATAAAATAAAAATACACACACAATCATGCAGAATAATCAAATGTCGGCCAAATTTGTGGAGGAATGAAATGTTTGCTGATTATTTTGCTTTCTGCATTTATAGTACGCGAAATTCTTCAAAAACGATGGTCACAGAAATCAACAATGACGAATAATATGACTTATACTTAATAGCTAATATGTTAATATCATTTTGGCTCATAAATTAAAAAAAACAAAATACCTATGTTATCTACTGATAAATTACGTGTATTGAACTACAATCAATATACTGTATGTAACTAAAGTAAGTGACATGTAAGTAGGTAACATTATTTTAATAGTCATTACCTAATTGCAATTTAATCATTATATTGCTTATAGTTAAATACATGTAAATTATCATTAAAAAACATATTTAAAATTTTTATTTTTTAAGCATGTAACTGCTTGATGTTTAAATCTAAAGAAAATATAATTAGAAAAAAATCCACGTGGATCAGGCAGCAGACGGAATGCGAACCCGTACCATTCGCTATCCGGGCGAATGCACTGACCAATTATGCTACCGCGGCCCGTCGAAATTCTTCTAGCCATTCTTAAGCTGCAAGGCAGCGCCATTTCTTCGCATAGGTAACCCAAAACATATTTTGTTTGTTACAATATTAGGTATCTATTAAGTATATTAATCGTATTATTCGTCTTTATTTATTACTGTGACCATAGTTTTTATTAATGATAATAGGTTAAAACGTTGTCATTTTGTTTTTTATCTTGACCTATGTTATAGAGACAAAAACAAAATAACAACGATCTGTCACTACTACGTTCTCTACTATTTCTGAGCAACTGATGGTCTGAAGTTCCTAAAGAAAGGTTATGACCTAGTGGACCTAAATATTTTCACACATGATTTATCATCAATACACTAATTTCTACTTAAAATTTTCGTTACCGAATTTTCAAGTACCTTGTGAGTGACTATGAAATTCAACTGTAAAAAGTAATAAGGAACTGAAAATCATAGATAAAGTATAACGGCTTCACGAAATATGCTGGAATACCCTCGGGTCTGGCACATGATATCATTTTATAGTACATGTACGTACTTCTTAAATCTAAGCCAAATAAATTTTATTTGTGCTTAATTTCGTATCCGAAGCAGTTTTATCAAAATTTTATAAACTGGGTAACTTCTTTGGACTGTATTTGTATATTCTATGGTTGACATTTTTTTTTATCTTAAATATTTACGTTATTATTTACCCTATACATTCTCTGTGAGGCAAAATTTTGATTAGTATGTTGTTTAAATTTGCATAAGCTTTAATTGAACGATTCCAAAAATACCAGGTAAATTACCACGGAGAACAAACACACTTCCGGAGTATTACCTAATCTAATACTAAAATAATAAAAACTTAAATAGTGGGTATCACAAATTGTATCGCATCGTAGAAGGAAACTAAATAACAGATAGGTTTCTTAACTACCAAAGGGTCACGTCAAACTTTCAGTTAAAGTAATTTAAACGTTCTTATTAAGATGAGCAGATGGTTAAGACTCATGTGATACCCAACACCTATTACTGCGTAACAGATGAATGCCTGGAGTTTTTCGAAAATTGAATTTCCAACCGCACTTATAAT